TATCAAATATGTTTCAAAACCTACATATGCTTAGTTCGAGAATCCCTAATCCCATCGAACCCTTAACCTAACTTGGRAGAMTACTYGCACATGGTRAAYCGAACARYARCAAKTGAGATAARAAATTYCATARATAAATRARTAGAAAAGATAAGAGTTTAGAAAACTTCAACAAAACGTGGAAGACAATCTTCAATCTTACAAAACTCTCCAAACAAAGTATCGATCTCTCTTTCTCACTTGTGTACTCTCGGTTTCTGTTGTTCGTCTCCCGGGTCTGCCTTGATCTCGAATATATCTCCCTTTTTAAGGGGCTTTGGCGGCTGGAATGGATTAGGGCAACTCTAGGTGGCGAAAATTAGATTTAATGAAAATTCCCAAAAGTGGATCTTCTGGGGAGCAGGTCAACTGATCGGGAGTGGGTGCTCCTTATCTTCAGAATCTTCAAGAAAATATCCTATTTCCCTCGTTTTTCGCCAAGCCTCCTTGCAAGTTCCAATCCTCCATTCCAGTCACTTTTAGACCTAGAAAGACTTAATATAGAATGAAAGACTCGATAAAAACATACAAAACAAGGGTTATAATGCGTTTTGGTTAGAATGCGCCAAAAACGCATTATATCATATACATGTGTGCGATCGATTACATGCTGAAAATGGAGCTAGGGTTTTAGGGATTAATTTATATATTTTTTTTCTTGGTATTTAAGTCTAAATTTTTAGTTTTAGTTTTTTTTTGTTGATTTAGGGGTATGGAGTCTGTCCTATGCGTGGACTTCAATAGTCCTAGAGTACAAAAAGAAACAATTAGATGACAGATGAATCATAAGCTTAACTTACATTTGATTCTAGTTGTATGCATAGTTTTCAATCATAACTTAACTGACAATTAGATGATGGATCATTCATAATCATAAGTAACTATCAAGATAACCTCTTCGTCGCCTTTGACCTTGATCTTGATTCTCTGGAGAAGAATAACCTAGTATATGCTGCTGATTGCTGGTAAGTTGTGGTAGGTAATTTGAATTTTATTCAGGTTAAAGGAGAAAGTAGCAAAATAATCATTGATTTTGGGCCAAGCCCATCTCTCTTATTTTCTGTTTCGTTTGTCGTGTGTATACATACATAAATGTTCATTCTTACCTTTGACAAACACAAAGACTCAATCTTCTCTCTGCGCTTTTTAGGGTTTTCGATTCATAATGGATAAACTATTTGTTGGGCAAAGAAAGAATGGAGCTTCAATGACTAAGATCGTCTGGACACTTGGACCGGAGTCTAGCTCTGTTGAGATGATCGAGAAGCTTCTCAAAGCTGGTATGAATGTAGCCCGATTCAATTTCTCTTATGGTTCTCACGCATACCATCAAGAAACTCTCAATAACCTCAGAATCGCCATACGCAACACTGGCATTCTCTGCGCCGTAATGCTCGACACAAAGGTAAATATATACAAATGTTTTCATTGATTTTTTGCTCTGTTAACAGTTTGGTATAATTAGGGTCCTGAGATACGAACTGGTTTTCTCAAAGAAGGAAAACCAATAGAACTAATCCAAGGTCAAGAGATTACAATCTCGGTTGATTACACCATAAAAAGGAAATTCAAACATTATCTCCATGAGCTACAAGAAACTTGCAGAGCAACTCAAGCCTGGTGACGTGATTTTCTGTTCTGACGGTATCGTCTCTCTAACTGTCTTGTCCTGTGACAAGCATCTCGGTATTGTTCGCTGCCGATGCGAGAACTCTGCTCTTCTTGGGGAAAGAGAGAAAGTTCATCTCCCTGGGATTGAAGTTGATCTCCCTACACTTACAAAGAAAGATAAAGTGGATATTCTTCAATGGGGAGTTCCGAATAAGATCAATATCATTGCTCTTTCCTCTGTTCGTAAAGGATCTGATCTAGACAAGGTCAGGAAATTGCTTGGGGTACACCGTAAGAGCATCATGCTTATGGCAAAGGTGAGTGAAAAAAACAGAACAATTTATTGGAGATAAATTGGGGAGCAAGTTATATAGTTGATGATAATTAATGGACTTGACAGGTTGAGAATGAAGGAGTGACAAATGTAGATGAGATTTTGGAAAAAGCTGATGCACTCATGGTGATTTGAGATTGGAAATGCCGCCCCGTTGGATAATTACAGCTCAGAAAAGGATGATCGAGAAAGCTAATGTACTCGGGAAACCAATCGTCACAGCAATACAGATGCTTGGCCCGGCGTCTCCTCGTCCGACTAGTGCCGAAGCCACCGATGTCACCAACGCTGTCCTCGAAGGCACCGATTGCGTCATGCTCAGCGGCGTAACGGCCGCCGAAGCTCACCCTGAGACCGTCGTGCGAACAATGTCAAGGCTCTGCAAAGAGGCGGAGGATTCTATCGATTACAAAGCTTTGCATATGAAAATAAAAAGAGCTGTTTGGAGACCGTTATCCAAAATCGAGAGGACAGCCGCTTCCGCCGCTACGAGTGTCGCTCCCAAAATGAAGGCCAAGGCGATCGTTGTCGTAGCCAAGAGTGGATTCAAGGCGGATTTTGTGGCCAAGTACAGGCCGAGCATTCCTATTCTGTGGGTGGTTAACCCGGAGTGCCCTGATTCGGAGGCGAGTCATGGTTTGGTTTACCGTGGGATCATTCCGCTGATGGGGTCGGGAGCTTCGAAATCGACCGAGGAGCTGATTACATTCGGGGTCGAAGTGTTAGGGAAAGAGGAAATCTGTAAGGTTGGAGATTTAGTTGTGGCGATGCAACTGAGCAGTGGTTGTCCTTTCATGCCGCTTCTGTGGGTTTGATTAGGCGCCTAAGTCGTGTTGGGTTTATTGGGCTTTAGTTCTAGATAAAAGTTGTAATCTTGAGTTGACTTTGAAAATTTTGTACTGCCTATTATCATTACTATATAATAATACTAGAGATTGTCCACGCGTTGCGTGAATTTAAAAATCAACATGATAAAAAATATCCAATAATTCTAGTTTGATTATTTGTATATTTAATATTACAAAACATTGTTGTTGTAGTAAATAATTATCAAGTTAGAAGATTAAAAAGTTGTAGCAAATTGCTAGACGTATACAATGTTATATGTGAAAAGAAATAGACTTATCATTAATAAAACTCACAGCGTATGCTTTAATAAAAAAAATCGCTACATTAACCAAAACAATGGTGTGAGAAGCCAATAATACTTTAACCATTTTTTTTTTTGATATCCACCAAAAATTATAGTTCCAAATTAAATGTGTTATTGTGAACTTTTAACGGTTTCAAAAAAAAAATTATTTATTAAACACAATAATATACTATAAAAACATATTAAAAACTTTAGATATGTAACTACTATGTTAAAAAAAAAATTCACAAAATGTTTTAATAAAAAGAATCATTGCAGTAACCCAAGAAATGGTGTGAAAAAATTAATTAGTGATTTTTATCTTTCACATCGATTCATTTGTGAATTATTATGTTTTTTATTCACAATTTGTGGTGGAATAAGGTTTTCTTCCGAAAGTCTTGGTTAGGAGATAATTGAAAATTTTAGCATTCTAATAACATTAAAATTCTTAAAATCACTAACTAATTTTCTCACCATTTTTCGGTTAATGTAACGACTTTTTATTAAAATTTTTTGTGACTTTATTTTTGTGATTTTTGTTTTAAAATAGTAGTTACCTATCT